ACACACACACACACACACACACACACACACACACACACACACACACACAGGACACACACACTCCCAAGCTCAGACAAAGGAGGCTGATTTAAATTAAATGGCCTGGAATTTGGCCGCAAACTGTGGCAGAGATGCAAAGCTTGATATGTGGCCTGTGGACTGCAGTGGTTACTCGGAGGGTCAGCTGAGGTGACAGATGCACTTTGGGCCACTTTTCTGGTTGGTGAAACCTCCAGGACTCAAGGGGGCGACGTGCAGAAATACAGACCCGGGCCTCTGTCTTCTCACAGCTGTACTTCTCCGCCTGCCTGTCCGACAGCAAACAGACACGGCTCCCTAGATCCCAAACCACTCCGGCACCCCACCCCGCCTGGGGTCCGGCTTTTGCCGCTGCTGCTCGTCCTTCATGAACTTCTCCTGAATGGCCTCCATTGAACCCTCCTCTGGCTCGCCATCTTTTTTGGGAAAGATGTCCGGGAACTGAAACGTCTGCTGCTGGGCCTGTAGCAAAATGTGGGATTAAAAAAAAAGACAAATAAGGAAAAAAAAGCAGAAAATTGAAAGGGAACGGAGAGAGAGAGAGAGAGACAGACAGAGAAAAACGGTTGTCTTAACAGCCGGACTTATTATGAGCCTGAAAGTTGAGCAATTCCGTTTTCTTTGGGATGGATACATAATTTATGCATATAACAGCAAGCTGAGCACCGGCCAGGAGTGTGATCCAGGCCAAGCCAATTTACTGTTCACTTTCACTAAAGCTGACAGTACAGGGTCCGGAGGAAGGCAGCAGTCAAGGTGAAACCTGCCCCCCCCCCTTAAAAAGGAAAAAACGGCACTGACCACAGGGCCAGGACCGTGCACGGAGGCAGCGTGAGGGTAGCTGGGATGGATGGATGGATGCCAGACGTCCTTAAAAGCAACACTGTGTTCAGGCTTTGATTATGCTTCCATCTATGAACGTCCTGCGTATAAAACTTAGGCACGCAGATACTCTACACACTTTGGCACTTTGCCAGTGAGGCGGGGGCAGTGTGCTGTCAGGATGCCCTTTCTAATGTTTTTCAAGAGCCCATACTTTGTGTACCCCCCCTCCCATCCTGAAAACAGCACAACCCAGGCCGGCTTTCCGGCCTCCTGCCCCTAAGGTCCATATCACCCAGAAGGGCTTTGTGGAAGTGTTCATTCATCCAGTGCTGGAGAGGGATTCCATTATTTAACCCATTGCACCCTCGACCACGTGGTGCTATTCCATATTTGGCTTGGAAAAAATGTGAGGACTGGCTCCTGTGTCGGGCGGGGTGCAGCTGCACCTTGTGTCAGGCACCCCCTCTACGGACCCCCGCCTTACATACGAACAGCCACCCCCTCACGGACCCCCTTCCAACACACACAGGCCTCCCGCCCTTAACGGGCCGGTTTTCCGATCCTCACACACCACGCCAGCCCCTCTGGCAGGTGCTCTGGGTCCCCCTCACACCTCAAAACGGGCGCCAAGGGGACAGCCTTTAAAAAATAAAAAAAAAATAAAAAACTGAAAAGGTGTCGAAAGACACTGCAATAAATCATTGTTTGCATTATATCTTATACACCACATATTTCACAGTCACACAGGGCACACTGGGATATTTTTCAAGTGCCTGAAGTTGCAGTGTAAGTCTCATCCTGTCTCATTCTTTGTGTGTGTACATGCGTACACACACACGTCCACATATTCACATTTTTATGGGGATTCTCCATTCATTTCTATTGGAAAACCCTAATCCCAACAATGGCAACCTTAATCCCTACCCAGCCCTAACCTTAACCATAAGTAACCAAACAAAATACAAGATTAATGGTATTTTTAGTTGTTTTCATTGCAGTCACAGATTTTTTATAAAATTGAGGTTATCCTTGTGGGGACCGAAAAATATCCCCACGTTAAAAAGTTACAGGTTTTTATTACCTTGTGGGGAAATCTGGTCCCCACAATGTAATAATTACAAAAACATTCATGCACGTGCCCCATCTGACCTGCAGGGGTTTGTCTGTCTGCTAATCTCCCCACATGAAACCCACTTGTATCACATGAAATATTTAATGAGCACGGCTCCGCATCAGCTTTGGAATCTTGAGTCTCATCCAGAAAAAAAATCCACATTACGGCAGGAACGCAAGCACACATGGATGCTCAGCGGTCACCACGGAAACGGTCACCACAGCAACGATCACCACGGCAACGATCACCGAAGCCTCCAGTGAACCAGAGGTGATAGGTGCTTGGCGTCCCAAACATGCTGGACAGGGTCAGGGAGCACACCCATAAGAAATGCCTGCCATCCCAGGGGGAATTGCTGATTACCCCCCCGAGCTGTGAAGTTCTGACCCCATGCCATAAGCAGACATTCCATCCTGAGGGTAATTGCCTTGTTTCCCCCAAAACGAGACGCCCAGAGCGCCGGTACGTATGTGGGGGTCGGTCTCAGGGGGAGGGCCAAAGTAAGTTCAAGAAATGGGGAGGGGGAGGGAAAAAACACCCGCCTTGATTGGTGCTGGCCTGAGAGCGTCGGCCGTACACAAAACACGCAGGCGGCAAAGACGACCCGCTCCCTACATGAGGCGAGGCGAGGCGGAACGAGGCAGGAGCTCAGGAGGCAGGGCTGAATTCCTGCGGCTGAAACACGGAGGGACCGGCCGGTGGTGACAGCACAACCCGAGAGGCCCGCCGACGCTGGGCAAACACGGGCTGGGCCAAACGCCGCCACGAGGAGCGCCTCTACCAAAGAAAATACAAACATAAGGGGTGCAGCATGGACGGCCTCTTTCCCGGCTGTAGTAAACGGCATGCCCAGAAAAACAGAACCTCCGGCACCATTTACACTCCCCCACAGGCCGGCCAGCCCCCCCCACCCCGGGCCGGAGCGAGGCAGCGAGGACGCCCAGTGTAAACAAGCGAGGCACAGACGGAGAGGGGGTATTATTCTCCAAAAACAAACAGATTGACAAGGAGCCCGACGCTGACGGGACAGCGCACTCGCACGTCAAGCGATTCCCGCGCCGTCGGAAGCTTGCCGGGGCGCTCACACGAACACGGCTCTCGTGGGGTGGGGGCTTTCGCAATTCGGCGGGCCACTGTAACGAGCTGCTGGCATCCCAGTGCAGCTGCACGCACTGCGCGAGTCACAGCACTCCTGGGGGGGTACGACTCTGCTTGTGATTCCGCCGGTGAACTGTGGTGCTGCTCCAGTAGGGTACATGTACGCCGTCCCGGTGAGATGCTCTCTCACACTCACACTCTCTCACACTCACACACACACGCACACACACACACACACAAACACACAAACACTCCAACATGGAACACTAATGTTATCCTTGGTCCTGTTCCCTGGCCCCTCTCTAGTTTTTTTGCTTATTGAACTCAAGCCTCCTCCTGCCTCGAGTCACTGTGCATATCTGAGGACGTGGAGCCCCCCACCCCCCACCCCCGAGGGACGCTGGAACGGTGCTGGCTGGCGCAGCGAGGAGGAGGAGGAGAAGGAGAGAATGCGATTAGGATAAACAAGTATCCAGCAGGCAAAGAATGTGTACAACAGCAATCATAAAAAAAAAAAAAAACTCTTTGGGGGATTTTATGAATTAACTAATCCTCAAAAATGGGGGAACACACACACACACACACACACACACACACACACACAGACAGCTTAGGTGTTTAATATGCAGGTCAGGATCTGAACCACCTTCTCTCCGAAAGGGCAGAGTGAAGGAGGCGAGTAGGGAATGAGAGTCTGAAAGGGCGGTGTGGACAGCGTGTGAGGCGAGGACAGCCGGCCACATCGTCCCCTTATGTGACCTGCATCCAGTGGGGGAGTCACCCGCCGCTACACAGCTGCTTCACACCGCTTTGCGACGCCCGACCAGGTCTGCTCTCGAGAGTCTAACAGGAAGGCGGGAAGGCCGGCCCTGAATGGCCCCGCCCCTGAATGGCCCCACCTCCTGAACCACATGTCACTGTGTCGGTACACGCCCCAGAATGGGGGCCAAGTCAGCCGAGGAGGAGGAGGGGAGTGGAACCCGGTCTGCAGGGTGATAACAGGCCACCAAACGAGAATCGCGGATCTCAGATGCTGGTACGTCAGTCGAAAGTTGTCAAAACTGGGCGGCGGGTGGGTGCACTTAAATGGAAATTTCAGCAGTTGCATTTTTGCAAGGAAAATACATTCCAGACCACAAGCCTGTGGCCCCCCACCCCCAGCCCCCAATTACACAGGATATGACCTCCTTCCCACCCCCAATAAAATGTGAATTACTGATATTTGGTTCTACACATCTACCACTGTAACCCGCAAAATAAGTGGCTAGTGGTGTGTGTGTCTGTGCGCGCGAGTGTGTGTGCGTGCGCGAGTGTGTGTGCGTGCGCGAGTGTGTGTGCGTGCGCGAGTGTGTGTGCGTGCGCGAGTGTGTGTGCGTGCGCGAGTCTGACACTTTACGCTCCTTTCATTGTGCATCTCATCACGTTTGTGGAACCAAATTGAGTATTCAGGAGAGCAGTGTGTGGGGGGGGGTGGTAGGTGACCCCCTCCAGACCCATGGGTCCTCCACCCACAGGTTACCCCCCTCCCCCACCCTCTCCCCTCCAGACTCACGGATGGAAGCTCCGCCCTCCCCTGATGACCTTGACCAGTTTTAAAGGTGACTGACAGTACAGCCTTTTCCCTTGTCCTGGGTGGTGTCTGCATGTGTGTGTGTCGGGGGGGGGGGGCAGAGAGGCTGGGTCCTTCTCGGAATGCCTCCTATGAATCCCTGTGCCAGGGGAAAAGCTGGCGTGGTCAAAAGGGGGAAAACATTTACACAAAAGGGTTTTATATTACCTCAAAGAGGGTGGCCATAGGTCATGTTCCCCATTACCAACAAAACAGAAGCTTGTTCCCATAAAGACAAACAGTGCCCCCCCCCCCCGCCTTGTCAGAGAGCGGCAGGATGGCAAACATGAAAGCGAAAAGGCAGAGCCGGCGGGGGGATAGGATTACAGCTCGCCGTCACACATCCAGCGTGCCGCTTTCTGAGCCACTCGCTGAGTCACTCGCTCCGGGTGCCCCTCCGCCAGGCGACAGATGGACCCGCGCTCCTGTTCGGGCCTGCCCGCCGTACCCGTCTATATTTTGGCTCCTGTGGACATCGGAACCCAGCAACTGGCCACACGGATTAATGGCACAGAGGTCAAAATGTGCCGAAAACAGGGCAGCAATAAAGAAATTATAAAAATACAGCTAAAGAAGCAGAAAAAAATGATAAGAGTAACATCAACATTACAGCGCGGGGGCCGGGATGCCATCAAGGGTCCGACGGGTCTTGCGGGAAAACCAGGCCAGACAGAAGAGAAAGAGATGCCATCTCACGCTCCTCTCCAAACGGCTGCGTGCAAATTTAACACGGATCGCGGGGTGGGGGCGGGACTGGAGGGGCCAGAGAACACACAATTCCACGAGGGTAGCCCAGCCTTCCTCCTTCTGAGAGAGAGGAGGAACATGAGCTCTCCTAATGGGACAGCAAGATGATGATGATGATGATGATGATGATGTAGGGACTTTGGTGTACCCTACAGGGCGCTATGAGAGGCAGAGAGAATAAGAATTCCGCCTTCCCGGGCTCTTCCGAACTGGAAAAAAGACAAATGATTGGCCAAATTGTTTACATACATGTTCACAAAAACAGCCCCTCAGGTGGGCAGTTAAAAAGAAAAAACAACTGACATCACAGCACTGAAATACCACCGCAGAGGTGTGTCTGCCTGTGTCTGCGTTCCCGCCGCGGTCTTCCTGAACAGGCCAGCGTCTGTGACGGCTTCTGACAGGCACGACACCATCGCCTGCGTTACGCTAAACCTCACAAACCAGCTGTTTTCCACGTAAACAGACGTTAATATGCCAAAGGAATGCTGGAGACAGACTGACACACTCATCTGGGCAGCAACAAGATAACCAGCCATCTCTCAATCTTAGCCTTCGCAGACGTCAGACACAAAACCAGCTCCTGAAGAAGAGTGCATGACAGAATTATGGTTGGGGTACGTATGAGACAGCGTTTGATGAAGAAAAAATGTACTACAATATGTTGAAGTTAACATAATTTTTTATCATAATGTACCTCAAGCCAGCATAGCAAAACGCTGCCATCTAGTGGCAGCGATCTCATCTTGCGGTGTGTGTGTCCCCCCCCCGACACACACAGCCGCAGTGTGTTAATCTGTGTCTCGCTTTACTGAGTTTTGTGTGAGCACACACTTGAGACCTTGGGCGTAAGACCACCATCTAATCTCGGGACTGACCTCACTGCTCCAAAGAGCTAGGGGACAGACCCCAGGCCTCACTGTTCCTCGAGGAGGACAAAGCTAGCGGACAGACCCCGGGCCTCACTGCTCCTCAAGAGGGACAAAGCTAGCGGACAGACCCAGGGCCTCACTGCTCCTCGAGGAGGACAAAGCTAGCAGACAGACCCCGGGCCTCACTGCTTCTCATGGAGGACAAAGCTAGCGGACAGACCCCGGGCCTCACTGCTCCTCAAGGAGGACAAAGCTAGAGGACAGACCCCGGGTCTCACTGCTCCTCGAGGAGGACAAAGCTAGCGGGCAGACCCTGGGTCTCACTGCTCCTCAAGGAGGACAAAGCTAGCGGACAGACCCCGGGCCTCACTGCT